GTTAAGTTATCCTTGTTTAAAGTTTTTAAAAAACTTATTAAAAAAAATTTGCTTGGTTTCTATTGACTCAACCCCATGTCTTTTGACTACAAATCATTAATATAGCCTCAAAATCCATTGAGACATGAGCTGTGAAAGTTAAGATATTAATTTTATTTAAAATGTCAATCTGTCTGATTTCTATTGACGGCCCATGTATATTGATTTTCTATTCAAACATTCGCTGAATGACTAATATTCAACGAATATTTGAATAAACACTATTTATTCAATGATTTTACCTTTTTGAATTTCTTCTTCAAACTCTTCTTGAACATTAAACATATGATCGGAATCATCTATAAACTTTTATCCAAATTTTCGAACTCGTTATATGCCATTTTAAACATTAAATTTTGAGTAGTAACAAATTGGTATATTGTTATTAAGCTTTAAAAATAATATGGGTTGAGTCAATAGAAATCAAGCAAATCGAAATTTTTTCAAAATTGAGATTTTTTTAATAAAATAAAACATGCTGAGATTATTAATGAAAATCCGTAAGCATAATAAAATTTTGAGATATTGCGTCTTTAAGTTTTTTACGCAATTCCGAAAATGTAAAATATTGATGAATACGTAGTATATTCATATAATAAAATTTATTAACGAAAATTTTTAGCTAAGTAATAATTTTATAATAATTCTTGCAAATTTAAATATATGCATAGCCCTAACGGCTCAATAGTTTTGAATACAATTTTGTAAAAACCAGTGTTACATCTTTACAAAGTTATAGAGCTATTTTATCTATTTAAATATGAAAAGTTTAATACACTATGTTTTTTTTTTCTTAAAAAAGGTGAGAAGTAAGAATTAATTGGTTTCTTTTTTTAAAGAAATAGCTCTATAACTTTGTTTGTAGAGATGTAGTGCTGCCGTTAGGGCTGTGCATCTATTTAAATTTGCAAGAATTATTATAAAATTATTATTTAGCTAAAAATTTTCGTTAATAAATTTTATTATATAACTATATACATATATATAGTTTTGATTTACATGTAACATTAGGTATGTCAAGCAGTGATCCAGATACTGTATAAACCTTTCATCAGGATTAGTGTCATCTGTTATATTTTTTTAGGAGAATAGTGTTGAAAATTTTTTTCAAGTAAAAGATAATTATTATGACGAAGAATACTCATCATACTTGTAAAGAATAATGTAAAGTCTAGAAATCAAGCATACATGCAATATTCACAGTGTTGGCAATTTTTAGCGGCCAAACAATTTTTTGGCCTTTGGCCGGCCAATTGGCCAATAGCCAACTGGCCAAACTTTGACCAAAGTTTCTAACTTTTACAAAATTAACCAATCATATTCCTAACTTTGCTATACAAAATATTTGGCCGTTTCGGCCAAATAATTTTCTTGCCCTTTTTGGTCATTGGCCGGCTAAGTGACAACACTGAATATTCGTAAATTTTACAAAATAATTCATTAAAAATATGTAGAGAAACTTGACACGTACATACCTGGAAAAATAATATACTGCGGCCGTTTAACAGAACAGTTAAGTCTTAAGAATCATCCTACCGTATTTTTTGAAATCTAGGTAATGTATAGAACCGTCTAGGAATTTATTTGACTAAAATTTGTTTCCAAATCAAAGAATATAATTTTACTAACTATGTAATTAAATTATTCGATTCCATGCATCTAATAGATTATGTTCACATTTATAAAATAATAAAATCTAATCTTACAAGACATTTTACAAGAAAATTATGACTCTAAACCAAAAGAGTGATGTACCAAGAGAAGATGAATCTATTATGCATCGAGTTATTATTCGGGGAAATTTGGCAATTGGGGTGGTAGCCAATATAATCCAATTTTCTTAATTGAAAATATTATATTGTTATCTACATTTATTTTAACATGTGTTGGATTATATCTGTAGTATTGATAACAGAATGATCTCAATATAAATAATTTGTTTTTTGAATTGAACGTACCGGGTGTTGGATTAGGTGTGTAACATCAACGATAGAGTGTCCAGATTCTGCTCACTCTAAAAATATTTTTTGTATTGTCTTTGTAAAATAAACATGACTTTAATCATTTTTTAAAAACCAAATACAATAAAAAAAATATTTTTAGAGAGAGAACAGCAAAGTCAAGCTATTTCGTAAAGAATCGAAATTCTAAGAATATGAATAATTCATCTTTTAGTATCGTATACATCTTTGGATCAGAGGGAAGAAAGAATATCATGTTGACTTTCTTAATCTTGGATCAGAAAGATAATTCGTCATTTTTACGAAAAATTCTTTTCAATAACAATTACAATATTCTTGTATTGTAAATATCGTGATGGAATATTATAATTGTTTTTATTTGTATAGTGCAATTTAAATTATAAAAGAATGTAGTAGGCCGAGCAATTAATTATATGTGCATCTTAAAAAAAACCTTTTGTCATTTCAATATGTAGTTTAGTTATATTGATTTTTATTTCAAACCTTTAGAATTAGGAAAACAAGCTTGTAGCTCTTTTAGATCTCTTAAAAAGTGAAAATATCACTGACCAGAAATTATTATTAAAATGAAAAATCGTAAAAATATTATAAATTATTCATTCAGAAGAGAAAAAAAAAGATAAATAGTCTTATCTAATGCTATAAATGTCTCACACAATGCACCTTTCCGTGAAATTCGTGGGCCCGTGGGTCCGTTAAATCATGGCCTCTAGTTGCTGACGGAGAACAAACTACAAAAAGTAGTTTCACAGAAAATTTTATTATACCCATTTTGAATAAGTTATTTCACATATTTTCATGTATTATACAATGAACAAAACCAAAAGAATTTTCTAATTATAAGTTTATCCTTCTAATATTAGATAATTAATTAACAAAATTAATTAACAGCTGGCTCAAAATAAGATTTAGACTTTGCATATTGAAATGTCGTAGAATAAACGTCGCCAGTCTTTTTATTACGAGCAGTTGCAGTAATTAATAGTTCGCCAAACTTTAATCCAAATTCCACAGACCTATCTAATTTAAGATGAATATCTGGTAGTTCGAGTTCTAAATAGAGACCCCCAAAATTTCAGCATCAGCTGCGACAATAATTATTTTATATATTATATACTTTAATATTTACAAGTTTGTTATTTTTACAGATAATTAATTCACAGAAAGCACACTTTGTAAATGGTTTTTTTACCAAAAATTATAGTGCACATATAAATAATGCACTAATTTTTAAATTTATTCACATAAATTAAGAGTGTGCTGTGCACACTATTCACATGTTTTTGAGATAAGATTTTATGCACTGGTTGGCCATCATGTTAAAGCTGAATTCATATTTTTCTTGCATTTTTTGGTATTGGCATTTTTATTCCAGAACTATAGTTGGTGGTAGAATTACTGAATTACGGCAATTACGGCATTTTACCAGTGGTAGAATTAATTACGGCACAGCATCTAATTGCCGTAAAAATTGTATGCCATAATGCCGTAATGTCGTAATGCCACAATAGTAATGCGATACCGTAGCCATATGGGCGGAAAGTTTTAGTATAGTGCTGTGGCTATATAAAATTAGATGATTATGCCCATATTTACATTATTCATTTCGCTCTATTTCAATCTTAAACATTTTGACATTTAGAGTGTCCCCAAGCTGGTGATCGTGGTGGTGCACAACCATTATAACGATATTTACCAATAGCGTGTGTAATAGTATAGTTGAAATTATTCTCACATTTCTTATTTGACGTGGTTAATTTATGATTGTGTTGATGCTCAAAAAATTACGATAAATTAAATATTGATTGCAATTAGTGTATGATATATCATGGCTTCACGGACATTCATGTCCGCGAAGTCATGTGATAAGTTGAATGGTGCATGTCGAATGAATGCCATTCGACACATCGAATTTTTTACTCTTTTACCAGTAGAGCTATTACCCGGGTCGAGTGACCCGTACGGGTCACCCGACTCGACGGGTCACGGGTCGAAAATTGCTCTAACCTGGGTCAAACGGGTCAGAATTCAAAATATGCAAAAACCTACTAAAATGCAATTTACTAATATAACTATAT